TTTGAACTCAGGTCAAGGTCAAACTACCAGCGTTTAATAATCTACTCAGCTAGTGGTGGACCGACTCATCTTAGAGATTGATTATCGTAGTTATGTTTATCTCTAATGTCTTCCGAGATCAGCTTAGTGTCAATGTTTGTGTAAATTTCGATCTCTTCCAGGCCTAGTTGCCTATGGGAAATGAAAGTTTTCACTGTATTTATCGTCCCTACCAAGTTTCCTGCATACTGTTTGAGTACTAGTAGTACCAGCTATAAATACTATTATGCTTATAAGGTGCACTTAGCTTTCTCAAATTTAAAAGTCGCCATTTTTACAGAATCTTAATTCTAGTGTTAAATATCTTGTGTTAAACTACTGATCTAGAGTGGGATGTTTACAAAAGCTAGCAGTAATATCCCTGAATAACAAATTATATCTTATACTTACTCTTGATATACTTAATACATTCCTTTGTGGGATCTGAAGTGCTTAAAATGAAAATGTAAAATTAGTTACCGGTATTACATTAACTAATAGTGAAATACCATAAAAACTGTTAAATTAATTCAATAAAATGACCGTTTTAAGGGTATAATTTTGTAGTTCATTAAGTTCTCAGATGGTCGCCGAACTGGTTCAGCGAATATTATCCCATATTTAAACTAACATCTCGATGAGATGCAAACTTATTTCTCGTGAAATCACATAATTAATAACTAAATTCATTCGCAGAATACATTAAAAAGATATAAGAATTAAATATATGTTATACTTCAATTATTATCTAGACAATTTACGATTATGCTAATATTTGCACTAGGAGCAAAATGTTTGCTTTTCGTGTCATAGCATCAAACATTTTTTTCAGTCGTCTGCAGAGCTTAAATTGCGCCGGAGCCCACCAGAGTTCGGCTGCGGTACTTCTTAGTTTTTGGCACATATTCTAATTATAGTCGGAGAGCATCGGAGCCCTAAATCAGAAGGCCCGGCACTTTTTTTATGTAACTGAACAATTATTTCAGTAGAAATTTCATCTAGAAAATTCTACTTTTAGCAATAAAATTATACAAAAAAATCGCTTATTAAATTTTTATTTATCTCTTTACATTTCATTTAATTTTTATAGTTTAATTATTTTAATAAATTGAGTATGCATTAATTAAATAATTATAAAACTGAATAATAATTAATTAATATAATTTTTAATACCAATTCAATAATTATTAATTAATTTGATACTCATTAACTATTTAATTTTTTAATTATTAATGATTTTAATAGTCATTTTATTTATTTATTTACTCTTGTTACTCTTTCCTGACAGTCTTCCATAGGGCTCCGGCACTTTTACTTTTAGAAATTAAGCCCTGGTCGTCTGTCTTTGAACATGAGTGGCTTAATTGCCATATTCATCTTCAGTGTACAAAATCAAAATGTGCAATCTGTTTATTTTAAACTTAATGTAGTTCAGAGCACATAAAAGAGAAAAAGGGTTTTATTTGTATAGAATACAGTCTAACTTTACCCCTCTCTTCTTTTATGATTTGTCACACAGTTAATCTCGTCAGAATTTTTCTTTAAAAAATGTTTTATATATGAATGTTTTTTACAAGTTGTAAAAATTGATTGAGTATGAAATATCAATATTCTGTAATTTATGTTCTGTCGAATTTATTCGCCTTGTAGTACGGCGCTGAAGCTAGCTTCTAGTGTGAATCTTTATTGAAATGCGATTGTACAGTGGCTCAACCTAGCCCCAGTCGCTGGTGGATGAAACAAACATGTCCTGGATGTTTAGTATTCTTGCCTGTAATTCAGAGAGTGTTAAACTTAATTTTTCAATTGATTTTGTGTTTCACATTTGTGCTCTGAAAGTTTAATCAGACGAGAAGCGTAGTTGGCGCCGTACCAGTGCAATTGTAAAGGATGCAGCATAAGTCATAAAGAAAGATGCCGAAGTATGTTCATTGAAAGTGTTCTGTGATAAATTAAGTATATTTCAGGTAAAGGTTTCATTGCAAATTCTCGTTCAAAACAATTAGTAAAGTTTTTGTCTGTGTAAATTGCCTGTTATATGATTACCACAGTCTGTTCATTCTGAGTTGCAATTATTTGAAGTCTGACATCAGGAATCGACTATATTACATTTGAAAGATTGTGCCGTCATACACTTTGCCCTAGAGATATCTAAAATTAACACTTTGCCCTAGAGATATCTAAAATTAATCTTTAGACAATAGTTAAAATAATTCTTTTAATACACTTTTTCCAATGTGAACCATTACACTTAATTTAAAAAACAAAATTTGAAGCCGATATGCATTTTGTTCCCAGCTTCCAGAGCAGAATCAGCAAGTTTCTTTATTTTCAAGTTTCTTTTCTTTATCAGCAAGTTTAGTATTTAGCATCTCTACCGACAGCATCAACTCTGAAACATCTTTCCGAAAGAAGACAAAGACACTAGCAATTCATCTTCGTATCCAAAAACAAAAGGTTAAACTTTGTGAGAAAAAAGTAAAATTGTTCCAAAAAAGTGCTTGAAACTGGTGTTAACGCTGGTGTACTGTGGGGGGGGGAGACGAAAGTTAAAAAATGGTAGTTCATGTGTTCTTCGGGCGAGGTGGTTTTTGGCAAATATCCCGAAAAGCAGGATGAAAATAGACATCAGTCTGCATCAGACGGCTATTCTGACTCGGTTGTTTAAGGGGAGGGAAGACGGAGAAAGAAGTTAGAAGGAAAAGCAAAAATTGGAAGCTTAGTTTTTTATTTTTTGATTCACAGAAGTTTGTGTTTATGTTCTTCGAAGATCTTAAAAGAATGGGGGACTGAAATCTAGGTTAGGTAAAGCTATAAAATTACTCTTGTAATTTGTGCTGGAGCGGGAAACTTGTGTATGATTATGGCTGTTTTCGTAAATTGTCTTTGGATAATTGAATGAGTGAAGGTGTAATTTATAGATCAGCTACTCTGAAGACGCTTAAGTTAATACTCGTTAATCTACCTTCTTGCCTATCAATTGTTTGTTTTTATTATTCGTGGAAGATGTAAAGATCAATAATATTTCAATAATATTGCCGTACTTTATTCCGGAGAAGTACGCTACAATTTCCTTATACAGTATACTCTCTATCATCCGGTTTGCGGATTATCCGTGCTTGGAGGTGCCCAATCTTGCACACTCAACGGCTATGCGAGAGTGTGTAAAAAACAAGTGCGAGTTCGATCATCAAGATTCTTCTTAATATAGGAATCGGATAGTTATTAAATTCCTAAGAAGTCGGGGTAGTACCTGAAATTTCTTGCCAAAAAATCGAAGATGCTTTGAAAATGATCGGGAAAAACGGGGAATGGTTCGATAGCGATTCGATTGACCGGGCTTTTCAGTGCTTCTGGATATCGTTTAGCGCGTCACAAGAAAAATTAGGCACAGAGTGATACTGTAACTACAAGCGAAGAAGATACTGACTATTTCATTAGTCTCGAAAGCCAATAACTTCTGTTGAATCTTTATTGGACTTCCTCGACCAAAGGTAGTTTGAATAAAATGATAAAAATAGCACTTCGAAAAATATGCAATAAATTCGACAAATATTTAATTGTTATCAAAAACAAAGTAAAATTACTGATTTTTTCTTTTGAGAAAAAAATATTACATGCAATATGCATGAAATTTGATAGTCTGTATAAAAGTTGGTAGTATACTGTATTCTCTTTTTAAAGATCTTGTCACTTTGTTGTCAAATATTAGGCTACCACTGAAGACTCCTCTATTACTAATAATGTTAACGATTGTAAATTAAGTTTAACATTTTAATGTTGCTTTTGCGTTGAAAGCTTTCTGCACATTTAAGTACCTTTCTGACAAGAGCTTTTTTTCATATATTTACTCAGAAAAAGAGCCATTTGATGCGTATTACGTATTTTTCTTGAGCCTCATCTGAACGTGACATCACCATTGTTGTGAATTTCCATTGTCACATTGTGCCTTGATACTAGTCATTCATCATATACCTCGTTAAATCTTGACGACCTTAAATTCTAAAGGCAGTCGCCCTTCCTTTCATGATGATGTCTGCTTTTTCACTTCCTGAGAAATGTTCATTTATATTCTATTGTTGTCTCTGATAGTTGTCTCTTCTGTGTGGATTGAGTCTATAACAGAAAATTATCTCAGTTCGTGTCCGATGTTACGCTTGCTTATTGCATCTTTAAGGAGTATTAGGCAAATATATCCCCGGATATTGAAATTACAGATCGCGGTGATCGCAAGAAGCGTGGCGAACGCATGATTGCACTGTGCCTTTTGTAGTGGAGATATTCGTATTCAAATGATTGTGCACTCTTTTTGCTAAGAATAGAAAAACGTATGCGGTGCATTTGAATTTGGAGATCTGACTGTATGCTGTGCTGTTCTCAAATTTTAATGTACTTTTGATGTCTTTGAAATGTAGATGATATTTTATTTGGATATGCCCTTGTTTTGGAAATTTTCGTTGTGATAGATATTTAAGAAGATATCTCCTATTAGTTTTGTGCATCTACTATTATTTGGTACTGAAACTAATTTGTTTAATGAATGCAGTAGTATCGATGCATAAAATGTATGCTTTTATGAAATCAGAGTTGATTAGCCGCTTTTCTTCTTGCCACTGTTTAGTTTAGTTTAGTTTACGAGTATACTGCAACTCTCCTGGCCGACAATAATCGGCCTTATGGTTAACGCAGCACACCCGACGCAGACAAACAACAACAAAAAATAAATAAATAAATAAAATAATTAAAAAAATAAATAATAATAATAATAATAATAATAATAATGAAATAAATAAATAAAAGATTAAAATATTTAAAGTCCTATTCCTATGATAGTCTTGTTTTCATTCACAATCCTCATAATTTCTGTTGCATAGCTATTCAAGAATTTTCTTTTTTTCAATTACATTTTGTTCATTTATTTTTCACACACTCTCGGTCAGTTTACATTCTTTCATAAAATGAGCTGCATTTCCGTACTTCCCACAAGCCAAGCTTCTTTCCACTGTATAATAATTAAGCATAATTCAGATGTAATTTTCCGTACTGAATTTTGTCAAGCGCATTATTTAGTGGAATTGCTAAGTATATATTTTTATTGTCGATTCATTTTTAAACTTTCCCGTGTTCAAACAACAGAGATAAATACTTGAATGCGGAGGACTAGAAATTTTTCTCTGTTTATATAATTTTATCTTAAGCACAGCTTCTGTTAGGAAAGCGTTTGACAAGCAGAGATATTTACAGTATAGTTAGTTTACTCTGTAAAGAAAAGTCAACCATTTTAACAACAGTAATTTCTAATTATGTGTAATGTTTTCAAATTCCTGCATCTTGCAGCTTTGAGCTGTTTTGATTTCAGACTTTCGTTTTAGTCGTTTACGGTAGAAGTTTCGATTTTGAATGTATGCCTGCACTTATATGGATCATTTGCTACTCATCGTCATAGGTTCAGAAGTTCTTGTGGATTTCGAAATTCTTTGTGGCAAGGCATGGGATATCAGAGCTGACAATTACTTCTTCATGCTTGACATATCTTCAAAGTGCATAACTGCCTGTTCCTGGAAAAAAAAATTAAATAGGATCATCGAAAATGTGATATAAAGTGAGTAAGATAGGGCAAATTAAGTGTTATAAAGTTTCAGAGATAAGTAAAAAAATTAATAAGGTTGTACGGAATTTATCTGAAACGTCAAATTCTGGATTCATAAAGGCATCCAGACAACTCATCACCTCGTCATAGAATCTTTCAGTGAAATAATACCGATCACAGGAAAAGGTTTAAAGCAAAGTTTCTTTATCAGTTTTTCAGTATAACAAATTTACACAAGTCGGGTAATCTCAGAAGACCTCTGCTGCTTGCGGGATGAACAGAACACTAGAGTTAAAATAACCTTAATATGATATTCAAACGACAAAAATCTGCCTGTAAGCTTTGGCTTAAACCTTCGACTCCGGCGAGCATCCCCCCCCCTGGCGTGCCTCTTGGACTGACGTTTTCCTTCCACGGGGTACTTGGGTACTCGGTGCGTCTTTCTTTGGAAGACTGCCTAGTGCTGTTCTCGTATTGTTGCCTCCCATCTTCTGGCGTCACGGAATCTGTAGATCTGATTGGTATTCGCTTGTCACCGAGTTGCCTCAACTACGTCTTCCACTGCTGGAAAAGCTAATCACTGAATTTTATGTTAGATTTCCTTGAATTGTCCGAGATTGACGTGGCAGTTTGCACTTTAGGCTTTGTCGACGTCGAAAGCCTGACCTTCATTTTCACTGCGCTATCGACTCTACCAAACCTGCACCCTATGCCTTTTTTCTTCGCTATAATTTTCTCCTTGGGTGCTTGTTCCATTTTAGACCACCTTATGCAGTACGTAATAACTCAGTACAGAATGATATTGACGGAAGTAGGGGTGATAGAGCTATTTTAAGTAGTGGAATTTTCATCCAGAAGGTGATTGATGTTATTAAAATTAGTAAGAGAAACTTCAATTACTACTTTTTTTATCTAAGTTGATAGATATCGATGAAAGCATAAACTGCGTGACTACTAATCTCCACAAAGATGTCTGGATTTGAGCGACAGCCGTAGCATCTATCTCAGTGGTGGATGATTCAGCATTTATCTGAATACAGTGACTACTATGAACATTGTCCAAAAATTAAAATCCATAGGTTTTTTTTTTTTTTTTTTTTTTTTTTTTTTTTTTTTTATAATTTTTTTAATGGTTACCATCGCGTGTAGACATCTATGGAAATAAAGTGGCCTAAGGAGGGTAGCCTTAAGGATGCACCATATAATTTCTTCTCTTCATTTTAAGCTCAGGTTTGAGATCAGTTCATCCTGGACCCCTGATCGTAATTAGTATGCTTGCGAACAAGCTAGTGCCACCCTATTTTAAACTAGCAGCCGAGAGGCCCAGACTTTACTAGCTAGATTCCGCAATGGTCTAGCGGCTGTGGACTGAACGACCAGCTGATCACTGCATCCATGTCATTTTTGGATGCAAGGTTTATCTTTTGTTTCCCATATGTAGCTCTTGGCAGGCCATTCCTTCACGTATTCTTTTGTGCATTGACTGCCTTAAAAACCAAATTTAATCTAATCAAGATTTAATTCTGGAATGTTTCAGTTCTCATGAATTCATGGACCTTGATATGATGTTGTGGCAAGTAATTTAAACCACAGCAACACCACAATAATACAGTTCAAAGCAATCAGGCATGATCAAATGTATAGTTTCAGATCAATTTGGATAGTTGCATAGAATTATTCAGTAGGTTTCGGTTTGGGCGGCCAGAGTCCTTCTGTATTTTCATTTGAAGAGTGTAAAGAGGGACTGTAGACATTTGCCGTACTAAACTCTAGCCATTGACAGAGAGCGAATCCATTGACCGTACGCCACCTTGAAGTGGACCAATAAAGGGGAGTGCTAATTAATGAGGATTTAGAGAAACGTGCATCCTTGAATTTTAAAATAAGACATTTCAAACCCTGGATTGGCACTGGACTCAAATAAAAGGTTCTGCGTTTACTCGAGATAATTTATATCTCTTTTCTGCGAGAAGGAGTATTCTTTCCTTAATGGAAAGATTATTATTTTGAAAATGCAAAGTTTTTTTAATTTTAAATCAATCCAGATTGAAAAATTTAAAGTTGATTTTTACCTCGTTTTTACATTTAATCTTTTTGAGCTCAAATGAATGCAAATCTGATAGGATGATCTTTGCATTGTCATAAAATCTGATTAACTGCTATTTACATAAGATCTATTTTGAAATTCAGTTAGTATTTTTTATATTATTCAAAGTAGAAATCTGTGAATGTTGTCTTTAATTATAAAAATAATTTTAAAAAACGCTTGTTTGGAAGAGGACAAATTTTATTGTGGCAATATATTAATGGAAAAGCAAAGAGAAAGGAATGAAATATAAGGAAATATATTATTTTATTATGAATTCTTCTTTTTATACACGGTTATGATGGTTTTGTAAATTTCATATTGATATGTTCCCTCATCGATCAACGTAATCATCAACCAATCGATCAATGTAAATGACAAGGCAAAAACTTTCATTTTAGATAATGCTTTCTTAAAATAAGTATATAAATGCCTATAAAATGATAATAACAAGTATCTACGTCTGTTTCCTGTACCGCCTATTTATCAGACAAAGAATTTGATTATTGTATCACGATTGCCTACCGGAGCACGAATTTCGTGCTTGTAAGTCCTGGGTTAGGGCGTAGAAATTCGCGACCATTCATTAACTTGCGCGTTTTCGAATAGTCGTCAAGATAATGAGAAATTTCTTCGTCTTATCAGAATGCTTTATCTCTATACAAAAAAAGTTAAAATTGGCTGTCTTGGTTTATTTTAATGTTATGTATTGACGTGCCAAGTTTAAATTAAGTGTGCACATAGTTATAGGTTTCCTTTCTTTCTGTTTCAAGTTTAAATGTAATTTTCTTTCACGGACAACACTTGCTACGTTCAGTATTTTAAATAAAAGTATTACTTTATACTAATTTTCAAATGAAGAACAAGCTCATTAAAGCAGTTAAACCTTTAATTAGTTTAAGCAGTTAATTATTTCGAATTTTGAAGATCCATAGGTATTAAATGAATTGTATTCAAAGCCTGGTGCTGTGGCTACGGAATGCTAACGATTTTATCCTATTACAAATATAAGTTTTATAATAATTTCTTTTGTAAATTCTCACTTTTTAAAAAAATTTCTCCTTATTCGGTGTTTAATTTTATGACAAACATTTCCTTGTAACATGTAAGATGCTGTAATGCAATTTTGGAGCTCCAAGACCATATTACAGCTGCTTTGATGACCATCCACGTTACGATGCGTGTGGGCAAAAATGGCGTACCTATTGGATACCTGTTATATAACAAGAGAAATACCCATCGAACATTTATAGCATTATACCTAAAATTTAAAAACTTTCTACTTCATTTAATGTGATACTATTATTTTTTATTTGCAGTACTTTACAAAATAATTCACTGAATAATTTTTAATAAATACAGATTTATTTGGTACAGACGAAATAATAGATGGAATTGTTGACCTATATTATAAAAAATTACAGAATTATTAGCATACAATGTATGTACTAATGCAGATAATCTAGAAACGTGCAGATAGTATAAGAAATTTCTAAAAATGAGAAATCTTATTCACACTTCTAGTTATTTCTTTCTACGCATTTGGAAATTTGCTTGTTCTCTGTGATTTACAACTCTTAAATTCTCAAGGAAATAAATATCTGTAACGGTAGCATGTAAATTTTCAAATACATTCTGTCTCCTCTCCCTTATGGTTATAATTCTGGAGTTGTCGATAATTTTCTGCTTCATTATTGCCCAAACAAATTCAGGTACGGTTACACCAAACGTCTTAGGCCCCATAGTGCTTCATATTTCAACTTCTTACTGAAGTTTTATTTTTCAAGAATCATGAAATCTGGAGTTCAACGAATATTTCTTCACACTTGCTTGGAAATGGTTATCTAAAATATGCAAAAATCTTTTCCATTCTTGTTCATACTTTTAAAGTTTTGAGGTTAGATTTCATTTGATATGTAAAAATGGTAACAGTACCTTATAAGGTATTTCTCCCGCTTTCCAAGCATGCTTTCTTGGTTTAACGGTAGCACGCTGGGCCGGTAATCCAGAGGTCCGTGGGTTCGATTCCCGGCGAAGGCGGTTGCATATTTTTCATCTTTTCTGCTTCCAGTTAACCTGATGACTCTACAACCTTTGCCGAATTCCATAATGGAACATAATGTAATTATGTCCTGCCTTTTTAAAGAAGTGAGAATCGTCTTCTATTTCTTATTGTACAAAATACTTGGCATCCAGCCTTTTGCACGCTCAGCCAGTCGTGTAGTGGTCTGCACGCTCAGCGCGTAATTGAGAGGTCCGCGGTTTAATTCCCGGCGAAGGCGCTGCATATTTTTCATCTTGTCTGCTTCCAAAAAATACCAAATGTATCTACAAGCCATACAATTTATAAAGAATTATTTCAACAATAGACAGAATTCATACGTTACTATGGCATGAGCCACAGGTGTTGAGGGTTTTGTATTCCAGATGTGCATTAATTCTGCTTTAAGGCCACATTTAGATGAATCTCTAAACAACCTCCATTCTTCAAGAATGTGTTGATAGCATAGATTTCCCAATAAATAATTTGCTTTTCTTCTAACAAATCCCTTTTATGTGTATGAAACTTCCCATGTTTATTGGCTACAAAATAGAGTAGTTTTGTAATGCAATTTAAAATCCATGAGTGGATCGCTTTCGTTGTGATAAAAAGGACGAAATTTTGAAGAGAGATTTTTGTTGAGAAATTTCGAAAATTCTGTCTAATTTGGCAGCTTAATACCTAATTTGCCGATTGATTTATGAATGAAAATAAAACGAAGTACCTGTGCGATTAACATGACTGTACGTGACTCGTGACTAGAGGAGAGCACTAATTTTAAGGAATTGTGTTAAGTATTTTTATAAAATGGAAGGTGGCAGAATATTTTCGTATTCATAAT